AGTATAGTCAGAGTGTTCGCCAAGCACTCAGCGTCGTACTGTCGTTCTCGTTCTGGGACCAGTAAGGTAGTTTACCAGTGTACATTATTGAATGCAGAACTGACACGATGTCGTTCCCATCATTCAATACGCTCCCAATTTCTCCCAATTTCATCTCGAAGTAACGCTTACCGTAATTCAGCTATACCGTATCTTGCTCGCGTACTCATAAATCAAGAGCAAACAATAAGTGAACTTTGTCTTAACTTTGGGTTATGAAATATCCTCATGTCTGTGAAATTGTTTTCATAGTTTGCTATGTACATTGTGACGATTAGCGTGTATGATTTTTCAACTGAAATGTGAGCTCCAGTGCTTGCAAAAGTTATAAACAATACAATACAATACAATGCATGTATGCAAGCATGGGTATGGTTGTGTGTATGTTTGTGTATGATTGGACGTATTCGTAGGTGTAGGTAAAAGCACGTCGAGAGGTACGAAAAATGAGACACGCAATTACGGGCGCGGGTAATCAGGAGTAGGCTAAGGTGACTCGAGTCTGTCTTTTTCGTGTTAAATGCTCATACCAGTCCTTTACATATAAACGTTCAAGTGGCCCCTAGGGGCCATCATAGGAACATCATAAAGGGAAAAATGCAACGATGAATACGATAAACGCGATAGTCCGTCAGCGATTCCGTCGACTATTGCCCTTTCTCTGAGCAAGGTGTCCAGTGTTCATGGTATATATTTTATGATGATAAAGGAAATAATAAAGCATTTTTGCGTTTACTTTTTATATGCTATTTAGATTTTCCAATACATATGGCTTAAAAAACGTGTCATTGGTCTTTTTAGCGTGGCTTTATGTTACATTCCTCACTTTGTTGATCATTCCGTTTGTTTTCAAACAACATGAGTGATTTTCATTCTTTTTTTGCATTTTCAGATGTAAATGGTCGATGAAGAATATTTCCTTCTTGATTACTTTTGTACAACCACCATTGTATAATAAGAGCTACTTTTTAATTCGTCGTTACTTCTTATTCGCTTATCGTGGGGTGTTGCTTGGCTAATAGAGACGCTGAAAATTGTTCGCATCGAGTTTTGCACTCGCGTTCTACGTTTAGCTGCGTGACACTTGAGACGCTAAGGTATAGTGGTTAAGGATTTCTAGAGTAATTTCACGATTAAAGTTAGGAAACGTGTGAAGAACCAGATAGTGGGAAAATTCGGATTAGTCTACGCGATTTGATCTATAGGATATTTGACTTTGATCGGTCTCGGGGTTCGAAAGGGTCAGGATTCCAAAATTAGTGGACCTACGTAGTTCAATCAAAGATGGCTAGTAGATTTTCCGTGAAAATAACATTCGGAAAGTACAACGAATTTTTTTGAGAGTCACCGACAGTCACCAATCTATTTCCATGGGTACTAATCGGTGATCACCGAAAACTTCTAGTACCGTCTAGTACTAGACGGTAACGCTCGTGCTGACTGGGCTACTGGATCTTACTAAAAACCCGCTAAGTGAAGCTAGAATTTCAAAAGCTGTCGAAGCTCATCCAGAACACTGGAGCTCAATGGCGCAAGAAATTGGACGCTCGTTTAGCATTAGCCGCTAGTCGACTGGCGGTCACAAGATCCTGTGACCGGACTTGACCTGAAGTATACTTATAACCTTCAAAAGCCATAAATACAGCAATAATCCTTTAAAGTAGTCATTGCATAATTCACAAACGTTCTGTACCGAACACTTCACGTCAAAAGCGGATCTGGAAAGCCCTGTTTTACGTTTTTAATATGTACTATTTCCGAACGTTTTGAACCATTTAAACAATATATTCTTATGTGAATACACGTATAATGTACAATATATATACGAATGTATGCATATATATCTATAAATATTTTTTACTTTTTAGATATATATACACCGAAGCTGGAAATTGATGAAGAATCCGTCCGTAAAGCGATCACGAATTCTATACAAGTTAAAAATTTAAACTTTATCCAAGCTTCAACTCTCTACGCAATGTTTTATAAGGAGAAAAAATATTCATTAACAGAACCAAAACCAAATGCACGCTAGCAACACAGTTTTCATGTTTAAAGGGATTAAACAAACCAACAAATTATAGTTCAGGTCAGTTTAGTTTTCACGGGACGAATATGCTTCTTGCCAATCGAGCGTCCAATTCGTTGTGTTTTCGACGGATGGGAGTAGCTTTCAACACTGGGTTCAATTGATTAGGTGTTCGTGATCCTCATAATTTAGCTCCGTTGCAAGAAAGTCGACTCCTTGGGAGTATGCTCAAAGGCAGGAAAACATGCAAGGATATCTCCTCGCCTCATTGGTTAGAGACCTCAAGTACACATGCCTTCGTATACACAGATCACGTGACAGGACAGTCAGTTTTAGAATAATTCTAACAGTCAAGCCCGAGTTCACCCCATTTCAAAGCTTCCGGTGAAGTAGAATTTATTCCTTATGTTCCCACTCTAAATACTAACTTCGGGGAACGTTGCTGACCAGCATGCGTCCAGGGCCACCTTAAACAAAACACAGATACCTTTCAAGGACCCGGGACATTTGGGCAACAGCCTCGAACCCGTGAATCACTTCAAGACTTCAAGGTGTTAAGATTGACGCAGTTGACTACTTTTGCAGGTAACCTGTTCCACGTAGGTGTGACCCTGTGTGCGAAGAAATTGGCCCGTACTTCCAACCGGCGTGGTTCTGATGAAGTTTATAGCCATGACCTCTCTTGATTTGAGAACGAGAAATCGCAAACAAGTCGTCTAGGTTGAGTCCCGATAGACCTCTTACAATTTTGAAAGTCTATCAGATCTCTCCTCTAAACGAGATACATCCCTTCTGTAATACGGTGCCGATGCCTGCACACAATTTTCCAGGTGTGGGCGAACAATCTGTTCACAAATTGTTTAAACCTTGGTAACAAGGTACTTGAACTCAAAAAAAAGATTAAAGATCTTGAGCTACATATTCTAACTCTAACAAAGAGGTGGGACAAAGGGAGAAAGCTATCTAACATAGCTACATGAGCATGCGATCATTCAGCATATGAAGCAAACCACAAGGTTTCGCAAACAACAGAGGGCCTCCATCATGAACTTAGCAATAACGCGATATTTATCGGACATAATTGAGGTAGTAGTGGAGAATCCACTGGGTAAGAGTTGTAGTGACCATGACTGTACGAAGAAAAGGAGCGATCCACGAGGACGTCTTCCGTTCATATTTTCTTCACAATCAACTCTGACTCGAACTGTGATATTTTCTTTGTTTTACTTCTTTTTGTTTTACCGAGCACGGTTTTCCGCTCAGGCGTATATAAGAGCTGGGTCCTGTTCAAACCCACGCAACACGTGTGACACGCTATCGCTCTGCTACTGCATTTGTTGCTTGCTTTGTTTAGCGTCACCTGGGC